GCGTAGTATTCCATTGTGTAGATGTACCACAGTTTTTAATCTACTCATCTGCTGATGGGCACTTAGGCTGTTTCCAAATCTTAGCTATGGTGAATTGTGCTGCTATGAACATAGGGGTGCATATGTCCTTTCTGATTGGTGTTTCTGTTTTCTTGGGACATATTCCTAGAAGTGAGATCACTGGGTCAAATGGGAGTTCCATTTTTAGTTTTTTGAGGAAACTTCATACTGTTCTCCACAGTGGCTGCACCAGTCTGCATTCCCACCAGCAGTGCACGAGGGTTTCTTTTTCTCCACATCCTCGCTAGCACTTTGTTTTGACTTAATCTTTATTGTACTCTCCTCCATATTATCTGCAAACCTTTTAATAGGTATCTTTTAATAGGATAGTTTATTCTATTTACATTTATTGTTATAACATCCTTTTCTAACTTCTTTCATGTCTTCTGATTTTTATGCTTCCTGATTGCTATTTTTAATTTTATTTTTCATCCCTTTTAAAAATCAGGCTGTAACCTATGACTTCAAAGTAACATACTTAAACCTACACTTCTCAACTTAATAAATGAAAGCCTATCAACTTCCTCCTAGGAAAAGATACATATTTTAGTACAACTATACTTCCTCTTACCCACCTCCCATTTTTGACTAGTGTGTTCTTGCATTTTTATCTTGGACTACTGTAATTACATTATTTTTCCATGGTATAGCTGATTTATTAAGAATTATAGTATCCAGTTGTATCTATTTAGCTATTTAGGCTTAATTCTTTGCTTATGAGCTATCTTTGCTGTTAAGGGGGGAAAAAGGAGAAAACAGCTGTGTTTGTTATTGCTTGCAAATCCTCTGGAAAGGGAGGGATGTGACATGAACAGGAAGAGATTTTTCACTTACAGCTTTTTATTGTTTTCAATCATGTGAACATTACCTATTCAAAAAGTTAAATTAAAACCATTCTTCCCAGAGGCCACCCTGCCAAGCTGAGCCCAGTCCATGAGGGCACTCACACATTGGTTAGCTATTCTACCACTCACTAAGGTTCCAGGCTTTTAGCTTGGAGCCGTTGAGCACAACTTCTCCTCATCGGGCTAATCTTACCCACTGTTAAGATTAGTTTGATGTGCTCTAGCTCAGCGGTCGCCAATCGGTGGTCCGTGGACCACCGGTGGTCTGTGAGGTCTGAAAGGTTGACGACCGCTGCTTTAGCTGGTTTGGCTTAGTGGATAGAGTGTCGGCCTGCAGACTGAAGGGTCCCAGGTTCAATTCCCGTCAGGGACACATGCTCGGGTTGCGGGCTCAATCCCAGGAGGGGGTGTGCAGAAGGCAGCTGATCAGTGATTCTCTCTCATTGATGTTTCTCTCTCTCTCTCCCTCTCCCTTCCTCTCTGAAATCAATAAAAATATATTAAAATAAGTAAATAAATAAAAATAATTAGTTTGGTGTGATGATTTCTTTGCGCCCTCTTCTGCTGTTTTCCGGTCTGAGGAAATCACAGAGGTCCTTTGACCTGATACAGATGTCTGAATCAGCAGAAGGAAATGAGGCTGCAAGTGGAGCATTCCACAACGCTCCCCCATTCGCCTACTCCTATTCTGTCCAACTGGGAAGCGTCAGTGAGGTTTGCAAATTCTGTTGCCTATTTTCCACCGTCCTATATTGTTCCTTCTGTGTGGGCTCATGGCACCTATTCTTGGCGCACTCTTTCCATTTTGTCCAAATTGTGAGTATTTAAGTGAGAAATTTTGAAACCCCAAAATGCTGAGAACCTCCTTTCTGTAAAAAAATGCTGTCAATGTAAGATGACGATCACTTCAATTTGTTCAGCAAACAGCCTCTAGCAAAAGCAGCCTCAGTGCCTCATTGTCTCTCGGGGTTCTCACAATACCCTACATTTATGATTAATTATTCCTTACTACTTTATCAGTTTTCAATGTACTAAGAATTTTAAAAAATACATTTGATCTAGCATTTTTAGTTGCTTTCAGTCTCTGAATAATCTAGTCCATCAACTACTGGAAATAAAATATTTAAGAGTAATATAATTTAAAGAAATGATCAGGGTTATTTTCTCTAGTCAAGTCACCCATTCATTAACAAACCAAATTACTTTCTTATGGTTTAGAGCTTTCTTATGAAACTTTAAAGGGCATCTTCTTTAATATGATTTATAAGAAATTGTTATCTTCATTAATTCAAGTTCAAAACTTTTTATGAATGTTTTCATGGATTTTTTTTTGTACTGTTAAACAGATACTGCAATGGTTAAACTGTGTTCTTACCTTAATACTATTTAGTCCTGAAGGTCCCAGAAGTACACCACAAATAATATAACCAAACATTGTAGGCAATCCTATTGTTGTGCATAGCCAGCCACAAGGTAAAGACAACATTCCTATGGTAACAATGTCCTAATGCAAGAATAAACAAGAAATACAAAAACTTAAGATAATAATTGTCAAGAAAGGCTGGTTAATGGAGAAAGCAGGCTGGGATAGTATCATGATTTCACTGAATGAGAATAAAGGACAGATGATGAAACTAAGGGAGGGAATTTTTACTACTACAGTGTACTATAGAGAAGTTGAAAACATGCAGAATGTATTCTGGGAGTAGATGAGGTTAGCTCCTAATGGTCTAGCCATTATAGCAAAATTTGTCTGTTTTGCTTAAATCCTGTAATAGTATTCTAAGAATTCTAAGCACTAGCACTCTATTTAGTCTTCCAGTCTGGGAAATCTTCAGAGCTGGTGTCCTAGTTTAACTACTTACCTTCTCCATTGGTTTTCCCACCACATAAAGTCAGTATAACCATCATAGTCGTAATTGATTTAGGCAAGAATCATCAGTGGGTGCTACAACTACTGGTGAAAGTTTGACAAGGAGCAGAATAGTCATATAGTCTCAAAATATTTCCCCAGAAATTATGTATTATCTACAAAGGTAAGAACAAGAGTAACTTATAGTGGAGACCGCACTCATTCAGAGGCACTAATGTGTTCATTTTGCAGACTCAGCCCTTCCCAGTTGCTATTCCAGCCACAACCATCTGCTGAGTTTTACCTAATGATTCAAGTCTATTAATACAGGGGTCTGCCCCTCACAGTAGACAGATCTTCCTCTCAGCCTGTCTGTGTTGACACCATCTCTAAGAGTAGGTTATTTGCCTGGGTTTCTTTTCCTGTGCCAGGGAGCTCTGCTAGAGACCTGACAGTTTATCTAGACTCTGCCAGCCTTCCCTGAGCAGGCTGAACCATGTCACTCATATCTACTCCCCATTTCTGTCCAAATCCAAACAGTGATCCTGAACCATAACACCATCAACTTCAAGCCTGTACATAATTCTGTATTCTAGAATGGTTTCCTTAGAGTTCAGAGGTCTGCACCTAACTCAGTCTAGAATGCCAGTCACCGGTGGAGGAGACAGTTCTCACACTGCAACCCCTGCTCCCGGTCTAAAGAAAGCCATATGTGATACCTTAGCCAAAACTTCTCTGCTTCATAAGAAGGTTCTATTTTAGTGAATATCGTTTTTAGATAGCTGAAGATTTAATCCCATTATATAACTCAAAAAGTCTTCCAAACTCTCCAAAGCAAAATTAATTTTCATTTTAAACACTAAAATGCTTTACTAATATTCTTTTGGGGGAAAATAAAAAATTAAAAGTAAATGTTTTAAATCACAGAAAACGTAGGGAATTCTAGTAGACTCTCTCTACTAGGAAGAAGGCTGCATACCCTAATATAATGCTCAAAATATAGAGCTCGATCTTATTTGCCATGTATACCAGGAGCTGGGAGGGGAGTTGTGGAAATTAAGCCCAGCACATGATTTTGAGAGGAGAGCAAGCAGACAGACAGGCTACCTTTATGAAGTGGTGATCTGCACGTGGGATTGTAGAATCTCTGGGCTTGGTCAAAATATACTGGTTGTTCTGGGAGTCAATCAGCATGCTAAGACCCAAGTCATCCTCCACTTCCCGCTTAGTGAGATTTTGCTTGGAGTTGGCCTCTTCTTCCTCCACCCTCAGAACTGCCTCAAAATTGACCCCTTTGACCTGTAAGAATAACCAATATTATGAAATGAAAACCAATAAAATGTTTTCAAGTTCAATATCTAGAGAATAAATTCTACGCAGAAGAATAATAGTTATGTTTTTAGTATTTTGTCAAGTGTGAAGAAAGATCAATAAATGTTCATTAGCATTCATTTGAAAATTTTCAATTACGAAAGTGATTTTAAGGATGGAAGTGTTTAAGATTTCTGTTAGTTCTAAATACCTACTTTACCTAATTCTGCGGGTGACATTGTGATGTGTAAAAATACAGGGGTAGGCAAAAGTAGGTTTACAGTTGTGAGTACATGAAACAGTTTATTCTTGTATTATCATAATCATAGCCTGCATGACTTTTGCCATATGAACTGTAGACCCACTTTTGCCTGCCCCATAGGTCTTCATCCCCTTTCCTGGCTTATAGCTCCCCAAACCCATGTAATTCTCTAAGTGATAATGAGCGATGGGAACATCTCTTGTTATATTCCGTCTTTTGTCCTTGGTTCCTGAAATAGCTCCCGAGCGAGATGAAAGAAGTATCTTATTATTAAGCACAAGCCCTAGCAACCTTACCTGAGTTTATACTTGTGAGGTGCTATTTGAAAAGCCCTTAAATAACCACAGGACTGGGCTGGTCATCAGAGGAACTAAGCATATGAGAGAGGGTTGACCTTTCAGCCCTACCCAGACCTCCAAGAGGGGAGAGGGGCTGGAGACTGAACTAATCACAAACCTACATAATGAAGCTTCCTTGAATATCCTTCAAGACCGGGGTTCAGAGGGCATGGGAGCACTATACTCTTTCCTCACACCGTGCCCCATGCACCTCTTCCATCTGCCTCTTCCTGAGCTGTATCCTTTAACTGGCAATCTAGTAAGTAAACTGCTTTCCTGAGTTCTGTGAGCTGCTTTAGCAAATTATGGAACTCGTGGAGGAGGGTTGTGGGATGCTCCAAGGTGACAACCTGGGACTTGGGATTGGTGCCTGACATTGAGGGGACAGTCTTGGACGGAGCCCTTATCTGTGGGGCGTGCTAAGCCCCCAGGTAGAGTCAGAACTTGAGAACTGTTTGGTGGTGGTGGTGTGGGGGAGCGAGGGGAATCCTGATGCCCTAGGACAGTGGTTGGCAAACTGCGGCTCGGCAAACCTCGGCTCGCGAGCCCCACGCGGCTCTTTGGCCCCTTGAGTGTGGCTCTTCCACAAAATACCGGCTCTTCCACAAAATACCGACTTCTGCACATGGGCCACGAAGTTTCAATCGCACTGTACGTGCACGTCCGCACGTGGTATTTTGTGGTAGAGCCACACTCAAGGGGCCAAAGAGCCGCATGTGGCTCGCGAGCCGCGGTTTGCCGACCACGGCCCTCGGAGGTCAGAGTGTTCAGGGAGCAGTGATTAAAGGGAACGAGTGTTTTACTTTCAAGGGCATATTCTTTCACAAATTCATAGCCCTTAAAATGCTTATGAGTTCTCCTCCATCCCATAATTAGAAAGTTTTAAAAACACCCCATTCCTTTCACTCAATTTTCATTCTCCCACCTTTTTCCTCTGAGCTTGTTCTAATTTGTTGGGTTTTTGTGGTTTTTTGTTTGTTTTCCTTTTCATTACCTAACCCATTTCTGAGTCCATGCCAAGACTCACCATTTTCAACACTAATCTCATTTATTCCCCCAAAGAATCCTGAACATGTAACAGTGAGCAGTCTAAAGTCTTGCTTCTGATATGCAGATCATTTCCTATAAAGAGTTTATTGCTCCTCTGGCCAGTCAGCATTGAAACCCAACTGTCCAGAGCAAGCCTTCTTGAAACCAGTCCCAATCCTCCTGAGGGCACGACTGGGAAACAAAGGTGAGCCACTGAGGGGGGACTGACAAAACATGAGCAAATAAAGGATAACTGATATACTTCTGCAGCACCAAGCCAAATTGTTTTTATGTTTTAGCTTTCTTTGTTTTCGATCTACACTAAACATATACATGCAAACCATTTCAACAACACATCCTTTCAGTAAGCAGCTTGGTCTCAGCAGGTGAAGAGGCAGTGGTTCTGGAATGCTACTTACTGATTTATTGTCATCAAAAGCGTGTTCTTCTATTTCCTCCTCTAAACGGTCAGCTGCCTTTCTTACATCTTCAAGAATTTCATCAAGCATGGATAAACTTTTGTTTTGATGTTGCATATTTTTAAGGGCTTCAACTTGATGTTTTTCTGCTGCCAGAAGTTCCACATATTCTGTCTCTTCCTATTCATTTGTAAGAAATAAAGAATGGGGTTTATTAAAAAATAAACCAGTGTATCTCTTCGATTCAGGTACCTGGTCCAACCACACCAACACACTCTATCCAATATTCCTGCTCATTAGTGTATTATTCTAGCTCCCGTCAATTAGGGAAAGTCAAGGACCGCCATCCTATATTCAGTCCATCATTGAAGAGCACACTGTTATGTGGCGTATGACTGTATTTCTACCCAAAATGCCATACTTTGGTAAAGAAAGTTTAATAAATCTGTATCTTCTCTACTTTTTAAGCTATGTAATAATACCATAGCCTTTCTATGAAGATGAAATTATATTTTATATATTTAAGTGCCTGGCACCTAATACATGGCTTAAATGATGGCTATAAGAAATTACGTAATAAATATCACATCTGACACAGTAATAGTTTCTTCTCGTTTTAAAAGTATACTTCATCAAAATCCTTGAAGAAAGTCAACCTTCACACAGAAAGGAATTCTTGTTAGAAACTCAAAATGTTGACTGCAGTTACAAATATATTTATTTCCACATCAGTTTATGGCAGTGGTCGGCAAACTGCGGCTCGCAAGCCACATGCGGCTCTTTGGCTCCCGGAGTGCGGCACTTCCACAAAATACCACGTGCGGGCGTGCACGTACAGTGCGATTGAAACTTCGTGGCCCATGCGCAGAAGTCGGTATTTTGTTGTGGCTCTTCCACAAAATACCACGTGCGGGCGTGCACGTACAGTGCGATTGAAACTTCGTGGCCCATGCGCAGAAGTCGGTATTTTGTGGAAGAGCCACACTCAAGGGGCCAAAGAGCCGCATGTGGCTCGCGAGCCGCAGTTTGCGGACCACTGGTTATGGGATAACTTCAGTAAGTATTTCAATGACCCAAGTATTTCACAATACAGAAAAGCATGAGAGAATGACTCCTTCCAGAAGTGGTAAAATGTAACTATGCTAAGATATTATGCAAAAGGAAAAGATTCTCCTACACAAGGGATTTTCCCTGGGCGTGATCATTATGAACAGGGGCCCCTGGCAGACCACCCCTGCTGAAGCATCAGCCCCTCTGCATTTCCCCTTTCCCTCTACTTCCCAGCTCAGAGTGTGAATGGCTCTTTCTGTAAATGAGTGAGATGGCTAACCTTTATGGCAGCCTCTCTCAAGGCCTCCAGGCGCTGCCGGCTGCTCTCTTTCATGTTCACCACGTCTTTGTAATCTCCCTGCAGGGCTCTCTGGAGCCCATAGATAGCCTGGAAGACGGAATTTTCACTTTCATTCAGCTCTTTTTGAAAAATTTCAAACGTGTGCACCTGGAACAGCTTCTCCTCATCCGACAGGCCCGCGTCTTTTTCCACTGCTCTGATTGCGCTTTTCAGCTTGTTAAGAACCACGGTCTTCTGGCGGAGAAGCCCGGAGAGCTTCCTGCAGCTATCCAGGACCCACTGCTTCCTCTGCATGATGGCTGCCCCTTTGCCTCGGTGTAACTTGATGGCGTGTTTCGCTACCTCTTCATGTTCCGCAGCATTTGCTATCAAATGAAGCAATGGGAGCAACATCCAGAAGTAATTTTTTTCCAATACCTTCATGATCCAGTTTTAGAGGACAGGGCAAGGCAGTCCACAGATTTCTGCTAAGCTGAGCTTGCATTTTAGATACACATTTTCAGCTGAAAAAAATAAAAAAGTTTATTACCACATATACTTGAATGATGATTCATCACTACTGAAATCAGAGTTAAAGTATTACATAATTACATCCAGAAAACTATCACTGTTCTGAAAAAAGTTATTTTTTTCTATATTAATATTAACATCTGCACTATTTATTGCACTGAGGTTAAGTTCAAATACTGAATGTTAAAGTATGTGCCTGGTAAGAACCGAGACTAACGGTTATGTCTGAATTTAAAGGAAATATTTTTAAAGAAAAAAACTCAGCCTCATATATCTACTAAGTCTACCAAGTGCAAAAGACAAAACCACTTCTATGTAAGAGGCTCATGTATCAAAGACCAGACACTTTACAAATCAGTGAACCACTTGGGGAAGCATGCTCCAGATCATTCCAGACATGATATGTTTTGAGGTACTATTAGCTTGCTTTGCCATATCGTTTGCTTTCCAAAATCAGTTGGAATTTTAATAGATTTCCAAAGTCAGTCGATTAAGTGCTAATGAGATAGCAAGGATAGACAATAAAATCTCCAAATATAATCACATCTGGGTCTCTAGGGCTTTATAAAACATTTAAACATTTTCAATCATCCAAATTAGGAAGGCCTCCATCAATGTGTATGATCTTATCTGGCAACTGAAGCACAGAGAGGACCCTGGACACACAAGTTGAAGGCTTCAGTACAGGCCGCAGAGGGAGCTGCAGCTGTGGTGTCCAGATTAGAGGGCAGGAAAGCTTTATCAAGGAGCAGGGGCAGCTGTGGCAGCAACGTCACTAAGAAAAAATGACCTCAGAGGTAGTAGGATAGACTAAAGAAGGACGAAGTAACAAATGCAAGAGAGGCCAGTAAGGTACACCCTAAAAAATATCCACTTAACCTGGCAACTAGGAGCTCACTGGGTACAAGAGCACAGGCCAAAAAAGAAAACAAAACACAATTTTACACAGGAAATAAAACATTCACATACACCATCTAATCATTCTTAATAGTAGCATCCAATGCATTATCATGTCAAGAATTCTTACTCAACTGTAAAATAAACCAGTATTTCCCCTACCTGAGGCTCTGCTTACTAAAATATTTAGTGATACTTTAATTTCACTGATAATCCTAATTCTAATCAGTTTAATGTGGTTTCCCAGGCAAAGCAGATTAAATGCAGCAAATATAAAAGTGTGGTATTTCTACAGCTAGAATTCTGACCAAACCCAGAAATGAGAGCCAACAGAGAGTGCAGACCAAACAGAGCTTAGGAAAAAGAAACACAAGAACTCAGCAAAGACTAGCAGCCCAGGTGACCTGGTGAGGGCCGAACTATTCTGTGCACTTCAGCAGATCCTAAAAATACCACTACTTGAGGCTAGGAGAGCCACCAAGGTTCAGAATGATCATGAAAAGTCACCAAAAAAAGAGACTATATTCTGGTTAAACAAGTCAGGAGACTATTCAATTTCAATACATTTTTAGATACTTCAGCTCCTAATGTTACAAGAATTCACTTACCTAAAACAGTTCACTTCTTAATAAGACAGGATAAATGAGAACTTGCTGTTTGTTACAGTTCTAATACAACTTTAAGTAAATGTTCCCACCTTAAAAGTAAATAAACGATTAACCAATCACAGTAATACCTAGCAATATAGTTGATCTGTTAGTTTAATGACTCATTTAATTGCTAAGCTTCTATTGTACAAAGGGAGAGCAAGAATTGAATCGTTACTTCAGAAGTATACACTTTTAGTATATTTCAGAACCAAAACAGAAATTTCAGATGCTTCATTAATGCCCTCCATTTCCCCACCAAAGCGATTTTTATGGATTTTAAACTTCAGAAAAATAACCTGCTGCATAGTTTGTGTGTGAATAACACCCCTTCTTTAATTCCTGGTTCCTTCCTTAAACAAGTCCCTGAAATTAAATAGCTATTCTTCTAAATCATAATACCCAAGGGAGTTATTAATTTTTATGAGAAATGTTTGAGAATTTATTTGTAGTCAAACTAATATTTCCACTGAAACAAGCTTAAATCATCAACATGAAACTGAAATTTTTTATAGACCCTTAAAATATGAATCACTCCTTTTTCATAAACTCATTTTTCCTTCAAACTTGGCTACCAAATCCTATGGACTAGTAAATTGTAACATGTTTTTTCCTGAGTGAATAGTAAACATTTTTAGCTTCAGGGTCATTTTGTTATTGTTATATTTCATTACTAAAAAGACACTTTTGGGATTTGTTGTGTTTTTTATAACAAATTCTTCAAGTTTCTGTATCTTGAACTACTGATACATACAACCTAGAACAGATCTGAAGCCTGTCACGCGCACTGCACGATTCCATTTACACAGCGTTCTTGAATGACAACCTGTAGAGCTGGAGGACAGATTGTGGTTGTCAGGGACGGGTGAGGAGGTGGTAGTGACTATAATAAGTAGCAGGAGGGACCTGTGGGACAGAAATGTTCTGTGTCTTGACAGTGGTGTGGCCACACAAATCTACGAGTGTGATACAACTGTACAGACCCTGACACACACACACATGCATGTAATACTGGTGCAATCTGAATAAGGGGGTGGATTATATCAATGCAATTTCCTGCTTATGCTAGTTTTGTAAGGAGCTACCATTGGGAAAACTGGGCAAAGGGTCGACAGGATTTCTCTGCATTATGTCTTACAACTGCATGAGAATCTACAATCACCTCAAAATAGAGTTTTAAAATTTCTACATAAATGTTTACTTTTCCCCACTAAATCTTTATTACGTGTAATGACCACCATTTACATTGCAGAGCAAGAAACCAAGCCCATGACATTTTTTCATATCTTTAAAAAACTAGAAAATGCCCTAAAACAGAGCCAGAGTCATCATTTTCAGGATACTCAGCTACAGTAAAACCCTAGGTTACTTTTCACTTAGAGCAATAGCAAATTCAATACTTTGAGCACAACCCTCCCCCAAAGTTTCTATTTGAAAAAGTTTCTATTCCAACATTAATTAAAATATATCTCCCCACCCGGCCTGAGTGGCTCAGTTTGGTTGAGCATCCTCCCGTGCACTGAAGAGTTGCCGGTTCAATTCCTGGTCAGGGCACATGCTTGGATTGTGGGTTTGATCCCTGGTCAGGAAGAGTACGGAAGGCAACTGATTAATGTTTCTCTCTCTCTCTTCCTTTATCTAAGCATGTCCTCAGGTTAGGATTAAAATAAATAAATACACACGCGCACACACACACACACATTTCCCCAACTTATCAAATTTCGAATGAGTTTTGCTTGTTTTTGTAAATGCAGAACAGGAATCTCAAAACTTTAAAGCTGATAAGGTTATTTGATTAAGAAGAAGAATATTTGTAATAAATGTCTTGAATGATTTAGAATAAAAGGGCTAATGGGATTACCATTAAGCCTACTCAAAAGAACTTCTGATACTTTAAATTCACTGTCATTTTACATTAAAATCACATTACTCTTATTCTATAGAAAATTTTTAGCAATTCAGAAATGTCACATATCGTTTACTGGATAAATAGCTGAAAAGCAAAGCATAAATAATGTAGCCTCAGATTAGGCTTTTTCAGAACAAAGTCACTGAAGTTAAAGATTTCTCCCATACACCTCTAACAGTGAGCCCCATCATGACTAGAGTATGTGAGGAAACGTTCTTCTCAGACATCTGCTGCTGGGACCCCCAGAGCCCAGAGCCCTAGGGCTATGGAGTCCCTTTAGGCACAGGGGAGGCCGACGGAGGGGAACAGAAGCAGCTAGTCTTTTTTCCATTTTTTATAATGGGCTAAAATTTGAAAACCTCGCAGCTCTGCTGCCCAGCCCTCCTTTGCTTCTCTTCCTCTGGACCTTCCAGACCAGTGGTCACCAACCTTTCATACCTCATGGACCACCAGTTGGCGACCGCTGTTCCAGAACACTCAGATTTACCAGATCAACTGCTGAAAAAGAGTCTAGTTTATTCACTGCACTAGTGCAGCAGCACTGTCTGCCTGGCACAGGCCACCTGCTCCCCACAGTTCACAGGACAGCTCAAGCAGGGATGCTAGCCCCACCCACCCAGCTAAACCTGGCCCCAGGGGTGGGGGGTACTGACCTGGTGCTTGGGCTATGTGCAGGAAATTCTGGAGCAAGCAGTGTGGGTGTGGCAGAAACAGAGGGTCTTGTACCAGTTATTTAGCTTCCTCTGAAAAACTAAAATATGAAGAATATTTATATTTAACTAGAGGCCTGGTGCACGAAATTCATGCGCGGGGGGTGGGGTGGGGGGGGTGAGGTCTTTCAGCCCCTGTGCCCTCCTCTCACAGTCCAGGAGCCCCTCGATTGATCACCCCTGCAGAGGGAGGCCCCGCCCACCTGCCACAGCCCACCGGTCAGTGGCCTGGGCCTCCCTCTGCAGGGCCATAATGGGGCAATGGCTTGGCCCCCGACCAATCGCATCGCACCCGCTGTGGCTGGCCTGGCGCCAGTGGGTGTCATAGTGTGGTTGTCTGGAAGGTTGCTTGGCTGTCCAGTCTAATTAGTGTATTACGCTTTTATTATTATAGATTATTATAGATGCTTTAAAATCAGAATTTCTTCATGATACCACTAACACTTCCAGGTTCAGCAAAAAACAGTAACTGAACAGGTAACAAAGGAGGAGCTCGTGGAAAGATCTAATGAGGAAACTCCCCAACACAATCTACTGCAATCTAATTTGTGGAGGATTTAACTTAAAAAGCTTATTTTAAAATGTAACAAATCGAACGATGTAAAGTAAAAAATAAAGCACTTACTATCCTGAAAATAGAATCTATAGTTATTCACATCCAATTAATAAAAGAATTGGAAAATTAGTTAAGAAAGGGAGAAAGAAAATTCTTACGAACATTAAAAACCTTCAAGGTATTGAATTGTTAATTAAACTCTACAAAAACGAAATATTCCATCGAGTGCTCCAATCACTGAAACACTACTTTAAAAAAATTAATATTGCAAGAGAAATCTGGAACCTGTAAGATGCTCTGACCCAAAGAATAACCAGAAAAAAAATGGATAAATATGAAAAGGCTGGGCTACCTTAGAGCGTGTGTCCCAAAGGGGTGTTGAGAATGGCCATTACATTGACTCAGGTGATATCAGGTGAGACCCAAAAAGAACTGAGCCTCAGGGCCTAGAAGGAGGCTGGAGGCCAGCGACCTGCCTTTGCTCTTCCTTCAAGCCAGGAAGCGGGACTTGGGGAGTAGGAAGGGAGCTGAGGAGTCCTGGGGATGGGAAGGGAGCTGAGGAGTCCTGGGGGAGAGGAAGGGAGCTGAGGAGTCCTGGGGGAGAGGAAGGGAGCTGAGGAGTCCTGGGGATGGGAAGGGAGCTGAGGAGTCCTGGGGGAGAGGAAGGGAGCTGAGGAATCCTGGGGATGGGAAGGGAGCTGAGGAGTCCTGGGGAGAGGAAGGGAGCTGAGGAATCCTGGGGGGAGAGGAAGGGAGCTGAGGAGTCCTGGGGAGGCTTCGGGGACCCACACTGGCACCTTCCGCTTCCCAGCGCGTGAAGACGAGCTGGCCGCTGGGTTCCAGCCATCGCTGGGTCCCCCCGGCGGGTCCCCCGTCTTTCCTGGGTGATGGCCCAGAACAGCCAGTGGGCAGAAGGCGCAGAGGTTCTCAACCTGTGGGTCGCGACCCCTTTGGCGGTCGAACGACCCTTTCACCGGGGTCGCCTAAGACCATCCTGCATATCAGATATGCATTACGATTCATAACAGTAGCAACATTACAGTTATGAAGTAGCAACGAAAATAATTTTATGCTTGGGGGTCACAACATGACGAACTGTATTTAAAGGGCCAGAAGGTTGAGAACCACTGCTAGGTCGTCGGTGTGACCGTGTTGTTAGCCCGGCTACAGCAACGGGAACTCACACCTAAGTTAGGGTGCAGCGGCTGAGGTCTGTAAACCCACCAGCTGTGACCTGCCCACTCGGGCGGCTTCCCCAGCTTTACCCGTCCAGACTGCACTTCGCGCCACGGCCCCATCACACCCCCGGAACGCAATCCCGGGTGCACGGCCGGGGCTGTCTCCCCGGGAGGCGGCGAGGAAAGCTGACAATCCTCCTCTTACCCCGCAGGCCACACGCGCAGGGGGCGAGATGAGAGCCGGGCGCTGGGAGCAGAAAGGCCCTCGTCCGAGGGACCCCCGGAGAGGAGAGAAGGGGAGACCCCGCCCCGAGGGAAGCCCCAGGAAGGGAAGACTGCCGGGAGGAGAGACCTAGGGTGGGAGCCCCGAGGGCCCGAACTTCTGGCCGGACCGAGGCTCCGAGCCCCGAGCCCGAACCCCGTACAGCACTCACCGGGATGCTCCGGACGCTCACGTCCTGGGTCCGGCTCTCCGGGGCCGGGTGGCGAAGGGTGGACAGGGACGCGGCTTCCCCGCATCC